CGTCGTGTGCGATTCGCGCCCGTCCGAACTGAGCGGTGTGGTGATTGTCCTAATGGTGAGTTAGACTTGAACGCACAGCCATTTCCCAATACACAGTATCGGACATTACCCTAACCCCAGCGCGCCCGAAGGCCGCAACCATCTCTTGTATACCCACTAAACTACCTATAGTAATTACAATAAACCACTCTATCAACAAATTCAACAACATTTAGCTATTAAAATTAAAAAGGAGGATGAGACGCGCGGACACTGAGGCGCCACCCGTCCGGCTCAACGTGCCGACTTCGAACCTCAATTACATTGTATTAATGAAGGATAATAACTAGCTACCTTAGCCTACAACGTCAAAATTCCTTAATCGATAACAGCGGCAAAATAATCGTGAATGTGCGGGACTGACGTGCCCGACGTGGCTGACGTGACGTGACGTGACACGACACGACACGACACTTCCGTACGCCCGCTGCCACTAGTACGCCATCTGCAGCGCTCTGCAATCCGATGCGACCGCGCTTCGACTCCAACGTCGACCCGATCCAATTCTAAAACTCCGGCTCCAAAGGACCAACTCTTCCCAACTAGTATAAGCAATCATGTTTCAACACTGTACACCTCAATCAAAACGACTATCAAATGTGAATAAATCCTCAAAACCTGTTTCACACTTGAGTAAAATATATATTGATAGGCCCGATTTAACTGGCTTATTTTAGCGATTTGAATACACTGGTTTACCATTGCATTCAGATCCTTATAGCACATGCAAAAACTGTCATTTCATGCAGCTCGACCCTGTTAGAATTGCCCAATGAATCTCAAGTTCAAAAGATGAGACGAATTACATGCAACGTTTCTACATTCTACATGCATAACTAAAGTCAGATTCCGTTTTCAGTTCGAAACCAAATGGTACAAGATTTCACACGTGCGATTTTGCTCAAGTGCCATCGTTGATATTGAACAAGTAAAATGTTGAGTAATGATTGCTTCACGCGTCGGTTTTCTTTCTGCTGGGCTACAGCTAGGCGGGGCAGTGTAGGCCGAACAGCAGTGTGCGATGTGGCGTATTTGTCAGTATCACAGAAACAGTATATCAACCTTGCCTGTCGTACTGCATCGACTCTACATGAAACATTCGGGACGACAAATCACTATTTATTATCATTCCACACGTTAAAACCATTTTCAGATAATGTAATCCCACTAAGAAATTTATTAATTTGTATCCACGATAATTATATACTCTCAAATAGTGTAACAACTTCGGTATAACAACGTTAACATTTTTTTTTCTCCAGATATTTAATTGTCTATATATACCCATTGAATCGTTTTAATGATTAATAATAACTAGCTAGAGTTTTATTGAATAACTATTATAACTTTCGAAATGTTCTTTACAGTGCTTCATTTAAACAACCAACGCTAGCGAGTGACACTGAATAACCTATCGATGAATAAAGACTAGTTTGAACGTACAACCTACGGATATTTAACTATTTCAATTAAAACAAAGAGAATGCGTGGAAAGATACATGTATAGCTTAAGCATCGTTACTATCTGGAATGTGTTTGAGTAGACAGCAACATTGTAAAGAACAGTTCAAAACAACGATAGGCGATAGGAGAACTGAACTGGAGGATCAAAAGTTACATCTACCCACAAAGCTCGCCCGAGTACATGATTAAGCGAAGGAGGTATTGCGTTTAAAAACACGCAGCGGTAAAATAATGGTAACAATATTTGTACTTATAATGGTAATACTCCGTTGGGTGTAAAGTAAAAAGTATATTTTTTTGAAGTTTCGATTAGCTTTTACGTATTAAAATTAAGGAATCAGATTAATATGGGGATTAAAGAGTTTTCCTCAAAACTACTGCAGTTTTATTTCTTTTATGATAGAAATAGAAATAGATGTCACGTAATTGGAATCGTTGGAAAAACTTGCAAGGATGCAAAGCTGGATAGCTAAAACAAGTATAGTTTTCAATAATTGACGTAATAACTTACACCGACTAATCAAGAAATTTATTTTCAGTAAAATTGAGCTTTTAAAATCGACATTCGCAGACAGATGCGACAGGTTTCGTTCACGCTTGCGACCGCTTATTACGACTGCCTGAATTTTCTGCATTCAAATCTCATCACATACACTCTTACCAATGCCTTATTAAATTCTAAAATAGGGTGTTACCACACTAGCGTATACCAAATTTTGAATAAAGCGAAAAAACGAAATGGACTTCTGAATGTAATAAAAATCACTTCTATCAATGCTTAAACAATCCGAAAAGTAATTGACAATATTTTAAAAAAAATATAAGACCTTTACTTTGTGGTTTCACAAAATATTTGAAAGTGTAGAACGTGTAATGATGTCACTTATATACCTATCGCCAAATATGGTTTTATTTTGACGACAAGTTACGTTTAATTAATAATTTCTTATGTTCTTGTGATCTGCACTATTATAGTAACCCTCTGTAATTTTACTTAAAAATATTACTTCTGATGAATACACTGTGATAATTACAATCTGCTAATAAAACTTAACAAACAACAAAAGAAATTAAGATTAATGTGATCCAGTGACATCATGATACTTAAACTGATAAGGTGATAAAGAGGGGGGGGGGGATGAGCAGAACAAAACGTCATCACCTTATTCGGTGCGAAATGTTGTCAATTACAGATATACGCAAGTCGGGAACTACCCTTGCTGCCATTTTCAAAGCAAGTGATCCACAAGTCGCGAACATGTCAAACCCCCATTTAATTGACACGATTCGATATCTGTAACCACCCCCGAAAAATATGCACGGACATAGATGAGATAGTCGAAATAACACCAGAGAGGTGGATTAGCTTTTTAACTATATTACACTTTTTAAGATTGAATATACTACAACTAACTATTTTAATGCGTCTACACTGCGTGAAATATTATCTAAGTAACACACGTATAGACCAATAACATTACCACAACTTAGTAAACGACACGTCGTTGGACAGTTGATTACTAACCATCTAATTGAACCACTCGCGGAACTGCTTCTACGACGGCGTAACAATCCCGCCACACTATAAGTAAGATGAGAACTCGCTCTCAATTCCTCTTCTTAAACACTAAACGTCTATCATTTAAGCCGGTTCAAATATATTTATTATGTTTTCAATTTGTACTTCATTCCTTTTTTAAACATAAGTAGTTACCGCTTCGTAGGAATTCACACTGTGTACTTCAATTTCGAAATTTTCAATAGCTGTATTGGCGCCCAACGTGGGGCAACATTGGATAATCAAAGGTATTTAAAACAGAAGACAGGTAAAGACTGTCGTGCTTTAACTGTGCTCTAATAAAATGGCACTTCTGAGGTAAACTAATACAACTTAAACTATTTACCATGGACTAACCAGATAAATAACCTTCGAACTACATTTTTAAGAAACTGACACGAAGTACCTTGACAATGTCGAAAAATAAATCACAGCTTATATTATGTTTATATTTCTACAGAGACGAAAACAAACGTCTTGCATTAAACGATGGCGCATTAAAAATAAAGTTTCAATTAGTTCGTAACTGTAAATAAGAATATTTCATATTGTCATCTTGAATAATATATAGAAATCTGCTTTAAAACATTTAAAATATATAACTCTCTACTATATGGACATGCATATTTTAACATTAAAATTGTACTTATATTTTAAAGACAAATTTAGACCGACAACAAAAGAATGTCTCTTAAAACGTTCCTAACAGAATTAAGACACAAAATTATAAATGTATAAAAAATAAAAGATCTATTACAGCGAGAAATTAGGAATGAAATAAAAATTCTGCTAATAGATTCAAAACGTAATGTCTCAGTGTAAAAATAAAAGAAAATTATGTCAATCATAGATTAAATTAAATGACGCATTGCATGTTTTATGTAGAATGCATCTTATTCATTAAACGTCAAGAAATTAAAATTACCAGCTTTGGTTAGAATATTATTTGGTTCCTAAATTCCTTTCGCGCTGTTTTCATATTTCCATTGTATTGAGGCGTACGATCAGCAAATTTATTTAAAACACCTTTAAATAAATTCTTTTTTCATCCGTCATTTAAACGTAATGAACATAAAAAAAACAATAACTTAATAATGGTAACATTTACAATGAAATCAATCTATCGCGAACGAATCGTAATTGGTGAATAATATACAAAAATAAAAATGTTATGGAATAGGAATTTTCCGTGATAGGACATATCACAATCGTACTTTTTATTTATTAAATCTTAAACAACTTTCCGCTAAGCGGCATCGAAATAATTACTTGTCCTTACGATAAAACATAAAATATAGTAATAAATTTAGTTCAACACGAATATTATACATGCGTAAAATGAATATAGATAAATCTATTTTATTGTAAATATGACTATGGAATCGATACGGCACGCGCGACGCTTTGGACATTGCACGGCCCCGACACAATAATTTGCGTGAACTCTAATACTAATGTAATAGTGTTCAAAATCGTGCGCCCCGCGTACAGTATCGAGAACTGCGTAACTACCCCCAAGAAATTGAAACGAGAAAACAATGTATAATTACAACTACACTCAGGTAACTCGCGCCACTCCCCTAATGTTGGATACATATCGGACTCCTAGCCGCCGCGACGGCGAAACTAAACCACCGGCGTATGACTAGAAACAACTAGAATCTACAATACAACAACGAACACCACGGGCTGATGGGTTGCGTCGATGTGTGGCTGTGATAGGACTCCGCCCACTATCGCAGACCATAACGCAAGCGTACAAGTACGTTCACACGATAAAATATTTTTAAATAACCTAAAAAGATAACGTGACCCTTATAACTGTTAAAATAATCGAAATATAACCCATTTAGCCGTTTAACAATATTTAGCACGTGCACGTATGCGTGTACGGTCCGCGCTCGCAAGCGGGTTGCTTACAAGTGACACAGTTGCCAGTCTACTGCATGAGACCCGAGATGGCGTTGTGGCGGGTCCGTTTCAACTCCTCCTCTTGTATTTTCTGTTCGATGAGGTATTGGGCGTTGCTAATGGCGGTTTGCGTTCCGGTGATGGTGACTATACGGTTGCGTGTACCAGGCGCGAAAGTACCCTTCTTGGAGATTTGTATATTCGCGCCCGACATTTGCTGGATCTCGACGAGGCTTCTCCCACCAGGGCCTGAAAGTCGCAATGTGTCAATGAATTATTGAGAGCTTTGAATCAGTTGACCAATGAAATATTTAAAACTACATAAATGCATAGAAGAAAAGATTTTTACGTGGCATTAGTATTACATAAATCCAGGTAAGCATTCAGATTTTTACGGGAGCGCTACGAGCACTAAGTCCACTTGATGGTAAGTGGATGCTGTGGGATATAGACAACTAATCGTCTGTCATTGATGAATAATCAAAATGGAGATGTGCTGTCACCTCTGAGGACTAAGATGGCATGCCTATGCCGTTTTCAATATTAAAAAGGATCTTCGAAACGTAATACAACTGGGTATTTGACACTTTGGGCCGTGATAGCTCAGATGGTAAGCACTCGCTCTAAATTTCACTATACGCGAATAAACTTGATTCAATTCCCGTCGGCACCAATGAAATTATTAATTGCAATTTTAAGTGTTGATGTACCACGCGCTCGGCGTTGAAGAAAAACATCGTGCAGGTTTCCTGCATGTCTGAGAAATAATAAAAACATTTATTTGGAAGACTTGTGAAGACTTGTGTTACACGCATTGGGGTAGCGCAGCGTAAACTTGCTTGCCCCAAAACCCTCTCAGAAACAAGAGAAGGCATGTGACCAGCAGTGGGACGTATATAGGCTGTAACTTTACTTTTTTTACGAGTCTCCACTCGTCAAATTAAATACTTTTTATGAGCTGTCAAAACAACATAACATCATAGTTTTCCAGTCAAATAATAATCTTATGTGTATATTATTAAATGCTAAAAATCAAATGTGGTAAATGTTAATTATATGGTCTAGTAACTAATTAGTGATAGTGTCACTACTCAAGAGGACCAAGTACGCTGGTATTCTGTGAGAGCGCGATCCTTTCTCTTTCGTACCGGCCTATTCATTGTATTGCATCCAATACAGCTGCAGCGTGGCTCTATCGCGTAAACATTTGATGTCGAATTATTATTGGTCAGAACAGAAATGTCGGTGGAGTTTGTCGCCCTTGAGTTATTAGGTAGGATATTACATTCATATCACCTTTATGCCGCTGCTAAAAGTAAAAATTAAACTATACACATTTCAGTGTGGCTGTGGATCTTCCTCCGGAGTAGATTCATTATCTGTGCACTTAACACTGGGACACAATTAAGAATTTTTTTCATTATTTATTACAGCCTATCAAAATCTACTACTGAACATAGGGCTCCCTTAGATTGCTTCGTAAGACCTAATTATCCTCCATTTGACAAAATTATTTAAAAATGATAATGTAAAGCAGCCAGTACGTCGTTGTTGCGGCCTTACCTTTTATTATATTAAAATAAGGTCTTTAAACCAATATTATATCTACTCTCTCTATTATATCTACGTCTATCGTACGCACTATCTCTATTATACCTACGTTTCACACTAAAAATATTGTATACATATTTTTCCCAGGAATAAAAAATAAATAATAATGTAAGCGACAAATAGTTAAAAACTATCTTCCTAAATTAAGAAATACGTAAGTAAAACCAATAACAGTATTCCTGGTCCCCAAGATACAGGTTATGCCTAGTTTGAGGCCCGCCAGCAACTTTTTTTATATGTAATAAGAATTTATATGTGATAAATATATAATTTAATATAATGTAAGTTAAAATTAAGTTAATGTAAGTCACTATTTTTTCCTAATGTTCAGGTCTGTAGCTCTATTTCTAGGAATAAATGATTTTTTTTATATCAACTAGTCTAACAGTCTGTTTGTGTCTAATGTAAAATTTTTTGGTGCTTTTTAAAAAGGTAGCAAGCAAAATTATAAAAAAGTTCTATCAAGTATGTGTGGACAAAAAAAATCAGACCTAGGCTATGATACAAAATTTGAACGTTTCAACACATGAAGACTCAAAATCCAATGTTGGTACAAAGTTAAAATGGGTAAGATAAAGAGAAAATCGCTTGCACTCACCGAGTATGGCGCCGACGATGACCTCGGGGATCTCCATATTCTTGGAGTCCTTAGCGCCGGCGTCGGCCGGCGTGGGGCTCTTGGAGAGCGGCAGCAGCGACGCCGAGGGGAAGCCGGCCACTCCCCCCACCCCGCCGCCACTCCCCACTCCGCCGCCGCCGGCCGCCAGCGCAATCGGCGCCACGGCTGGGGGGCGAAGCGCCTCGAATGCAACCTCCGCGAAACGCTCTAACGAGCCGCCGCGCGCGCCGCCTGCGGGACGTCACGCTAGTCACGCCGCGTCACGTCGCGTCACGTCACGCTCGTCACGCCGCGTCACGCGCGCCACGCAGCGGCCGGGAGCTTTAGTGGTGCGGCGCGAGGTGCTGACACTTACATTAGAACGTTTCGCGCTGTTGCGGACAGAGTGACGTGTTAGCGTGCTGCTCGCAACGTCCGCACAGCGTGCCGCCTACACGTCACGTCACATCGCGTCTTTACGTTTGCGTTACGGGTAATGCTTTTGCACGTTCCCATAAAATGTGTTTTTTTTCTATTTCATTTTACGCGACCTAACTATATTTTATTTAACATATGTTCAGACTATGTTTCGTCAAATAGATCTATAAATCGACCTATATTTTATTTAACATATTATGTTTGGACTACATCTCTTCAAATCGAAGTTATAATTTGTTTGTGCCCATAAAATGTTTTTATTTAAATTTAATTAAACGTAATCTATATTTATTTCACTTATGTTTAGACTATGTTTCAAATAGAATTTATAAATCGCTACGCGATCAAATTTAAAAAAAAAAGAAAAGGTCGCCCGCAAAATGTTAACTACAAAAAAAGGAAACATTTTAACGTTCAATTCAATATACATAACTAATAAACTATTTAAACTTGAAAACACCATTACCATTAAAACATCTACTGCCAAAAATAATGAATATAATAATTAATAACTTATAACCGTACAAAAGCATAACCCAAAATGTCCAATCGGTGACGTTTTTTTTTATACATAATTATCAATAAAATTTTGAGTAAAAACATTGCCGAATGAGTTCCAGTCTGCTATCAGGGCGGCGCTGTGTATCGGTTTTGCGGAGGAAAGAGACGGAAGATCGAAAGAGCAATTTCATGTTAATTAGTTAAAAACGAGACTTAATGTTGATAAAACCCAAATATATGTTCTTTTATATAATAAGTAACATCATAACAATGAATTGATTAACGGATTAAAAAAACAGTAAAGAAGAAATTCATTTGTAGCTACTATTTTCATATTTAGGTACCTGTTTTCTCTTTCTTCTTTATTTATGTATTCTATTTTGCAAGCTTATCAAATAAATAATTACAAAGGGCGGATTTAACGTGTGATGTGAGTTAGTGACAGGTGCGGTTAATTATTTGAAATTCGATCCCCTTACGTCGCTATCGCAAGTCAATTCTATCAAATATGTTTAATTTTATGTTAACGAGCTAGCAAAGATTTGACATCCTTTATACGAACACCCGTATGTCAACATAATGTTTTAAAATAAAATCGCACTTGTGGCACTAAATTAAAAAGAAGGCAAAATAAAATAATTAACAGTAATCAAAATCATTCGCAATGAAGGCTGTGTTTCGATTTCTAAATTTTGGCTTCACAATTATCATACTATATGTGTACAAAACAACATACTATATGTGTACAGTACGATAGACTGTCTAGGATCGTTTACATGAGAGATGCTCGCCATATTTGGAACTAAGGTGAACTGTGTCATTGAAAAGTTGCGTTTGAAATTAAAGTTTTTCTAGTGTATGTATATTAACAATACAATGTCTCAGTCCTGTGTCCTTAAATTTTTTACACATTTGTAATTTCAATTCTTCTTCTTTTACGAATATTTCAAGAATGTTTTAATTTCAATTTTATTAATATAAAATATAACTAATTAACTCCTAATTAAATAGCGTTGTCCAGGTGACAGAAAATCGTAGTTTAATTAAAATAAAACGGGAAAAATATAATCAGTAAAATTATAAGAAGGAACGAGTTTTATCAACAATAATAGATAAAATTGAAGAGTAATAGATTTTGGTATTCTGTTTCAAATTGCTCTTTCTATAAAAAATGTGTCTAAGTTCAAAATGTTAACGTATATAAAAAGACAGTTACATTTGTTGAATAAATTACGTATTATAAAAACTACAATTTACTATTTCTTAAAAACAGGCAAAGGTGTAAACACTATACAGCCATACATAATTAATCACAAAAATTGCAAAGTTTTCTTATGTCAAGAAAAAACCATAATCATTGTTCCTCTACTAAATAAAATTAATAATATCTCTTTCTCGATTTTTTTAATATTTTTATGTAGTTATATAATTTGTATTTATTATATTTGTAAATGCCAAGAAACGAATGGCTTCATGAATTAATTATATGATCAATTTCGTCAGTTTAATATTCTATATTCATATAATTTTATTTATTTATCTTGGTTTATAATTCCTGTTTTTTATATACGCTAACATATTGTGTTCAGACACAAGCTTGTTAGAGATGTATTGCCGATAGAGTGATATGGAAAAAGCCATGTTTTGAAATTTCGATACACGATAGATCGGTAATGAAAATTAAAAAGAAAAATAAACCAATCTCAAAAAGCCAATTGTGTTAAGTAAAATCAGCAATACGATACACATTGCAATATTTGCATGCGATCACAAATATTTCCAAGACGAACAACAACTTTTTTAATACCATTAATTGAATACAAATTAATATAATAAAAGTTAAAATGTACACATTTCTTAAAATATAAATAACTGATGAAATCTGAATAATATTAATGAATCAAAATAGAATAATCTTTCGTATTCATCTCCTAATGTTGACATGTCCATGAAAATGAACGCAAGGTTACAATAAAAACTTTGATACGATTGTGAAATGGTGATCGTTTTGATTCTTACATTACTGAATATTTAATAACATTTGTCGAATATTCAATAAGTCTAACTAAAACTAAAGGCATTGCAACAGAGCGCGCTGTAAGAGCTTATATACATTTTTCTGGAATGAATTTTCCTCATATCCAATTCTCAGTAATTGTTGTTCGTCTTATTATATTTCCTAATTTATAAATAGCATAATTACATTAAATAATACTTTAACCACGTTTTATTTAACATTTTTAACAAACTAAAACAAAGGAAATACTTTTATAATCGAGTTATAATACATTTTTGGCTAGTGTTTTTTTATTTGAAGGTTTTTTAACAATAGTCCATACATTTCAACCATAACCAATAATAATTGAAGTTGGTTTCTAATTTTAAATTAATTCATTTTTATAATTGTGTGTTTCAAGATTTATTAATTATTCAAACAAGCTAAAACTAATTTTTTTTGTGTAGTATATAATTAATACCTAATTAATAAAACGCGGTTAAAGCCAATGTGTAAAGAAAAAAAAACAAATAAAGCGGGAAACCCTTGAGTCATCCAAGAAATCAAAAACGATTGTTAATCATGTGAGCCAATGTTCCAAGAAATATATTTATGAAGCGTTAAGAAGAAAATTTTGAATTTTGATGTATACGTAATAAATTTTGTGACTTCGACATTTTTGATACATCTTTTACAAACACACATTTTTATTTTAAATACAAAATTATACACTGAAAAAAGTTTTAAGACATTTTTGTGAGTTGTCATAATTTAAACCTTATAAAGCAGACCACAGGTGTACTAATATAAATTTTATTTATAGTATATCTATAGTATTTTGGGTTCTAATGGGCTTTATTAAGTCATTCTAAATTTTCGTGTGAATTAATACGTTGCCATTTCGTAATGCGTACAGTCTTTTCAGCTATTAACTACTTTGTTGGAATGTTACGACATGCCTACGTAATTCTTGCAATATTTCTACCTTTTTAATCTACTTTTTGAACGTAGTTAATTAAAATAATCATTAAATATTTTGTCTTTGTTTTAGCGAACGAAAATGAATACAGTATGTCTTATTTATTATCCACAATAAATTCGTCTTAAGCCTTTTATTACAATTTGACTAATATATATATATATATATATATATACTTGCTTGCCAGGCACACGTTGCTCTGCCCTTTTAGACGCCCCTTTATCATGACCTATTAAAAATCCTTAAATTTGCAAAAAAAAAAAATTGTGAGTCACTCTTGGTTAAAAAAAACTATCCTATCTCTCAAGTTGAGCTAAATTGCACACATTGTGCAAATTTGATTCAAAGTAGTAAAATCAGTTAAGAGTCCATTGTGGACAAACAACGTGACACGTAATTATATATATATATATATATATATATATATATATATATATATATATATATATATATATATATGGACAAACATATTTAATAATAAAACGAATTACATATTAATATCGATTTTTAAATTAATTGTAATACATTTTTTCAACATACGTAATTTATATTAATAACATATTTTATAATTAAATGATAGTAATGTTACCCCTGAGCAAGATGCGTGGCATCATTTTGAATTAGAGCTTTTATTATGGATTCCTTGCAGTTTTAATAACAGGTACAAACACAAATTACAAACTTTAATGCAATTTACTTCATTAAAATTTAATTAAATTAAAAAAAAAACAACCTAGTAACATCATTCTTCATAAACGGAAGAATATAAATTTAATGTTATTTTCAAATTTATTATTAATTCATTAAAAGTTTCAAATTTAATGCAATTTAAAGCGTATTCGCTTATTCGGTACCAATAATTTTTGAATAGTCTGTAACACGTTATTTATCTGAATCACAGTAACGAAATACGACTGGAGTGTTGTTCCTAAAATGTAAATGTCGGTATCTTCTTTCATAATCTCATATATATGTTGGTCGTTATATATATACAAAAGTTACAGCCTATATACGTCCCACTGCTGGGAACAGGCCTCCCCTCACTTCTGAGAGGGTTTTAGGGCAAGGAAGTGTTCGCCGCGCTGCCCCAATGCGTGTTGGCGAACTTCACATGTCTTTGCAATATTTTTTTCTTATTCCTCAGACTAAGTCAGCACTTAAAATTGTAAATAACAATTTCATTGGTGCCAGCGGGATCGAACCCGGGTTACTCGCGTTCTGTTATATTTACAGCGAACGTTAACAATCTGAGCTACCACGGCTCTTATAATTGTATTTAATTTCTTATAATTGAATAAAATAATAATTGTATTGGCTTAAAATGAATTCATGGACATCCTATATATGATAATAATTTGATTATTATGCGTAGTTAATATTAATAATACATTGCGTTGACGGGCCTTGCAGAAACGTCTGTAATTTCCGTACTTGATTGGTTTGTGCGGCAATGTGTTTTGATACAAATAGAATATTATATTTCAATGCATAAATAATCTTATTTACAAAGGGTAAAGCTTTATGTTAATTTTTTTTAAATATTGTTTATTTAATAGCGATATAGATAAAATATGTATATGTAACATTAAATCGTAGATATAGTACATTAGAATTTAAAATACCCAAACCTTATTAACTTTCCCACTACCTGTGAGTCTTACTGAAAAAAATCTTTTCTAGATGTAAGGTGAAATTTTGGTACACGAACAAACTACATGTATAAATCACAGCAACGAAATACGATTCGAAAAGTATCTAAGTAATATAAAGACGGTTGAGACAGTGGACTGTGTGAATCTATTATTGTAATTTAATAACATATTTCAAGGTTTCTTGCACGTCCGCATTATATAGGAGTAAATATCTATATTATAGGGTAAATCGTGTAAGTCGAAGTAGTAGCGACTATACGATCGATGAAAAGGACAAATATTATATATGTTATATGTAGTATTTCATACGATTTTTAATTAATTTAAGAATTTATGTCTTTTAAGCCAGACAAAGGAGCAAGTCTTTGGTTTTATTAGACCGATCCCACGCTACTTCAACCATCAGAGTTCCACGTCCGCGTTGTACTTATACAATTCTTGTCAAAAGTGGGAAGCCGTCGTGAGATCGTAGCGTATAGACACTTATTGAGTTCGTCTACGCGCAGTCGGTCGAAGTATACGAATACAGTATGTCACAGTAACGAAATACGATTAAAAATAAATCTGGTCCTTCGAGCCGGATATTAGTCTTTGGTAGAACTATAAGGAGCCGCTGGCTAATTGAACCGCCAGACGTCTACGTCCGCACCGCACTCGTAGCTTCGCAGCTTGTCGAGCGAGCGCAGGTAGTAGAGACACTCACCGAGGCCGACCTGGCCGAGCGGACCGAAGACCGCGGGCGAGTCCTGCGCCGGCAGCGGGAAGTAGGCGGCCGACAGCGGCGCGGGCGGCAGCGCGGCGGGCAGCGCCAGTCCAAGCACGCCGTGCTTCACCAGCAGCGACAGCGCCGCGCCGATCTCCGAGATGCCCGCCTCCGAGTAGCCCGCCTGCCGCAGCGCCACCTGCCCAACACGCAAACCTATATTAACCTGTGCTCTGTGCAACGCAACGCGCAGAGGTTCTGCCGGCCGTAAGTCAGTGGCGTAGCATATTTTGTTAAAGCGCAGTCCCCACGAGAGCACATGAACATAGATTAATTATCCCCCCCCCCGCTCTGTCACTGATACGTCCCTTAAAGGTTGGCCTAATTCAAAATCAGCATTGTTGACTTACGTTGAATAGTAATCAACATTCAACACCGCAATACAATACTTCTATTGAATGTAAAAAAGATATAAGTTTAAGTATAAATATGCTATTTATAATCCATGGTAACTAAACCTAAACATTCGCTATAAATACCATAGTATACGAGTACCACAAATTCCAATACAATTATAGTCCACCAAATCTAAGAAATGCCTTTTGACGTTTCACATTAATCATTCCTCAATAAGGCCGTATTCAGTGCTCTCCTGACGGTCGGGGCTGACGGTCAGTGCGTACGCACGCACTGACCGTCAGTCGGCTTTATGCATTCAGTGCTCCACTGACCACCGTACGGAACAGCAGGGTATAGTCGTGATGTATCCGTTTATAAATTGTTTAATTACTCTTTACTATTTGAGGCGATTACGAATGAAAAAAAAACGAAGAAGATATCACGTACATCCAGTTATTGCTAACAGGCTACTTGAAGGAGAATTCAGTACTCTGTTTTCAAAACTTAGAAATTATAATGAAAAATTCTCTGATTATTTTGGGATGTCAGTAAAAAGTTTTGATGAACTGCTGGCAAGAATTCAGGATCATATTAAACATCATAACATGTTTAGGATTCCAGTACGACCCGTTGAAAGACTTGCTGTGACATTGAGGTAAGATAAAATCGAAAATATTTTCGTAGTCGGGTGCTATTCCACTCATCAAATTTCTTTGATCAAAATATCAGTGCATTTTTTCTAATAATATCAACATAAAAGTCAGCTTTCTCTTTTTGTTGGATAAAATTGATGGGTAGAATGGCTGGCACCCTTACATAGAGTACTTTTAAATATGAAATTAGAGACCTTTAAATATGAAATAGGCAAATTAAACATGTTTATGTGCTAAGTTTAATAAGTTTAATAAGTAATTTCACTACGTTTTGAAACGAAGGTTCTTCAACTGAATACAAAACTATGTCTCGAGATCCTGGTGATGGTATATTGAAGCTGGAAGCAGACAAAGATGTGATTACCGAATTTTGTGATGTATGTGCGATATTTGGATTAGTTCTCACTACATTTTGAGACGAAGGTTCTTCAACTGAATACAAAACTATGTCTTGAGATCCTGATGGTAGAGATTCTGGTGATGCTATATTCATGCTGGAAGTAGAAGATTCAGGGCGAGAGGTAGATGCATACATTGGTGAAGCAAGAGGAGTGATAGACGAAGGGCAGTTACAAATTTCCAGGGCTTTATTCATTACTGCAGTACGGAACATAACTTTTTGACGATTGTCGAATGTCCGTGTTAAAGGTAAAAGAGAATAAAAAAATGCCATATCGTCATTTTGAATAATTTCGCTGTTTTTTGTTAAAAACTCCAAGATGTTTTTATCGAAGTAGCTGTCTTCATTAGTTTTTGCGTTTTTACGCTTCCTTGATGGGTTTGTGTTAGGAGTAGAGCTAGATTGTTTAGTTGTGTTTGAAGAATCTTGTCTAACTTGGCTGGAACACTGTGGTTGGGTTTCTGGATTGGTGGATACTGTTTCAGTAGAACGTGGATTGATTGGAGACTCTAAATTTGAATCTTGTTGTGTATCTTCTCTTGTTTCATTTTCTTCAATAGAATCTTCGGTGTCGGCAACATGTTTTTTGTCAAGAAACTGTAAATGTTTGAAAAAATACGTATTTGGTTCTCTTTCCGCCTTCCGATCCCGATTTCACAGATTTCATAGAATTTTTGCATCTCATGTAAGCATCTCTCGCAGTTCTCCATCTTTGTTGTACACTTTTTTCTGTAAATAATAAATAAAAAAAATTGTGTTTTTTGTTCCAGGTACTTAAGAACTGGACAAACGTTTTCGGACTTACATTTCAGTTATCAACTTGGCAAATCAACTATTTGTCTCATTGTTCGAGAAGTTTGCCTGACTATTTGGAATGTGCTTCACAGTGAATGTCTTTCGCTCCCTAGGTTCCCTGAAGATTGGCTTAAAATTGCTTCAGGATTTGAGCAGGTTGCCAACTTTCCGAATTGTGTAGGATGCCTAGATGGCAAACACGTGAGAATTGTTTGTCCCGAAAAGAGCGGTAGCTTATTTTTAAATTACAAGAAGCATTTTTCCATCAATCTACTAGCAATGTGTGATTCAGAGTATCGTTTTACATATATACATGTTGGTTCGTGTGGGTCAGACTCTGATTCAACAATTTTCAAGAATACTAGTTTGTACACAAAATTACATAATGGAGAACTAAATTTACCAAGTGCTAAGCCATTACCTAATACCACTGAACCAATGCCATATGTGCTAATAGGCGATGGAGCGTTTGGAATATCGAATAAAGTCTTAAGACCTTATGTTCGCAGCAATATGACACATAAAAAGAAAATATTTAATTATAGATTAAGTCGGGCGAGAAGGTACATTGAATCGACGTTTGGAATAATGTCCAATAAATTTAAAATATTCCAACGCTCAATAAATCACTCACTGCCGAATGCTATTAAACTTGTTAAAACCTGTTGTATTTTGCACAACTACATTAGAGAAAGAGATGGCTATAAATTTGAGGATACGCTAACTATTGAAGGATTTCAAAATAATACCAACACTAACAACATCTCGGTTGTCAGATCCGGTGATGTTTTGAGAGATAAATTTGCTAATTACTTTGTTTCTGAAGTTGGCGCAATTCCGTGGCAAGATGATTCTATATTTTGATTGTTATTATTTAGATACTTGTATATTCAATAAAAAATATTTTTAATAAACACATTTTTTTACTTACCAAAGTCTTTTTTATCATTCTCAGACAAATCATTAAAATCGGGCAAAAGAGCTTTATACACTCCAAACCATGCTTGAAGCTTGGCATCTTTATCTTTGAATAAATCGTGAGATAGATCCCACAAAGGTGGTCTTATTCGAACTTCTGTTATCACACGTTCAGTGTCGATGTTATGTTTCGACATGATTGTACACGCTAACGTCCGTTCGAGTCCCGCTTCCGCAACGCACTAAATGCTCTGAAGCATTGCATAGCGCGTCAGTCACCTGACGTACGCAGCACCGACGCGCTCGACTGACCGTCTCTGTCAGTATTGCGTATGCGGACGCGGTCAGTGCTGCTCTGAATGCACGCATGGTTTCTATGGCGATAGCTACGGCAGACTGACGTCAGTCCTGACCGTCAGGAGAGCACTGAATACGGCCTAACTTTGCACCAGCGTACTCACAGAATTTAAAATAACCTTTTACGTAAATCCGAAGAATTATGACGTAATATAATGAAATATAGATAATATTTCATTACAACGTATATAGTTTTTTAACACTAATTTAAATTTGAATTTTTCAAACAAAGCTAAATATTAAAAAATAACCAGTATTACTTTTTTTACTTGACGTCGTTTCAATGATATTTCGCTATGTATATTGCCGTAGTGCTTGGATGATTAAAATTCGTTTATATTCGAATGTTCGGCAAAATATTCAAATAATCGGTAAAAATTTTCAAATTATCGAATCATTAATTTTTAATGTATTATTTGTTTAATTTAATTTTTATTTTCAAAATTCCTCAAATTACATGAATCATGAATAAAACAAGTTTATTTTTTTAATTTGTCAAAGTAAATTTGTGAAGACAAAAAAATCATATACAAGGCCGTGCTAAAATAACTACTACATAATTTTAATATCCCGCCATTTTGGTACCAGTTACTCGACTCCACAGTGTCAGTAATTCATTCTTGGGGCGATGTATACGCTTTTACAAAAAAAATCCCAGAAAATATACAAAATTTGATGTAAGTACACATAGTTTAAAAACTTTATTAAACTAAGTTTGTATAAAAATTTATTTGTATTTTAATATTAAGGAATTTATGGATGATAATAACTCCTGGGAAGGGTGATCGCTACCAAGCTATTTCTAATTTGTTTTGTGTTGTTAATAGTAACACGCATGATTGTAAGCTCTTTTTTTTAAACTAGTCCCGTTGGGTTTCTTGCTGGTTCTTCCCAGGACAAAGGTTTTTTTGCGAACCAGTGGTAAATGAAAAATTTCACTTTCAATAAGTATTATTTATAATCTATATTGAATAAAAAAGTTTCTGTTTCTGTTTACAGAGCTTACTGTGCGTAATTTTGTGATTTTTTGTTTGTCTTCTTATTTTGTTACTCGGTTTTAACTTTTTGGACTATTTCTTTTATAATAACTTTTTGTACGTGGTAGAGCCACGCTACATGTATATTATAGTTGTAGCACAAATGGGTCGGCTCAACCGGGGCAGGACCACACTCTCACAGAATACCAGCGTAAAATAGTAGCGTAATGCTGCTGTGTTTCGTATGGTGAGTGTAGAGAACCGGAAACCCTTTTAACTGGAATCGAGGCATTCCATCTTAAGCCTCTGGGGTGACAACGCATTTGCATTTTGATTCTGAATTGTGAATAAATATGTATGTCTATGGGCCATAGCATCCACTTAACATCAGGTGGACTGTATGCTCGTTTGTCACCCAATGCTATAAAAAGTATTCGTTGAAGCCTGTGCCCATGTCACAAAGGATGATTGGGCCAAAAGTGATAGAAAAAAACAAAAAAAATATTATGGATGACTTTGAAAGAGACATTAATTTTGTCTGCATTATTGAAAATCTAATAATTATTAGTATAAACAACGACATATCTACTAGTTTTACTGAAAATAATCGAATAAATTTATTTTTAATCTAGTTTCAATCTTAAATTTTTATAACTGTGCCTCTAGAAATAAGCAGTAACAACAAATACGAAGAAACTGATAAATCTTGTGTTTTAAATTATCCGTTTTAAATTTATTATGGTACTATTCAAACCAAACTAAAAGATTACCAACTCTAAATAATCGATATCGATTTTTTAAGGAATCGAATATTGTACGTTCCCATTTTTTGATTGGCATGCTTGGTGCAATAAATCTGACAGCTGTCAAAATGTATTTCTTAGATTTGGTTGACTATAAGTATTCATTATAATTTTAGGAGGGTATTTACCATGTACTCAACAGGGAGGGAAAATAACGTGAGAAAACATTTATGAAATAAATATTTCAAAGACATATGAAGTTTGCCATCACGAACCAGTGGGGCGAATAACTACGCCATAACTTTTTCATATATGAGAGGGATCTGTACCAGTGGGATAGTGACTACTGGGTATTTTGCGTGTGACTCAAAGATGATCTTAGGACACCCACAAAACGATACAAAGTGAAGGAATCTCTTGCGCTGCCATCACACGGTACCATAACATAATATATAATTAACATATTTATACTGTGTCTCAAAAGGATGAAGCTACATAATAACTTACTTATATGAAATATATATATATATTACACACCCCTGAAAAGTGTGATCGCTATCAAGCTATTTCTAATTTGTTTGTTGTTAATTGTAACATACATGGATTGCAAGCTATTATTTAAAAAAAACAGTTCTGCTGGATTTCTTGCTGGTTTTTCCCACGACAGAGGTTTTTTTTCGAACCAGTGGTAAATTAAAAAAGTTACTTGCAATAAGTATTATTTTATAATATATTTTCAATAAAAAAAGTTTCTGTCTCTGTTTCTGTAAGATGTTTCATTCAATCATGCTGAAATCACAACTCAATACTGTGAACTTTAGAACTACTTTGCAGAACATTTGGTGATTTAGTGCTTACTAGGTACGTACCTTGATGTGGTCGAGCGTGTGCTGCGTGAGCGGCGAGGCCGGCGGAATGCCGGGCGGCGTCAGCGACAGCGCGTCGAGCCCCAGGCCGCCGTGCACCAGCACTGACCCCAACGAGCCCACGCCCATGTAGCGACATCTGGTGGGCGGCAGTGCTTACTAGGTACGTACCTTGATGTGGTCGAGCGTGTGCTGCGTAAGCGGTGAGGCGGGCGGCGTGCCGGGTGGCGCCAGCGACAATGACAGCGACAGCGCGCCGAGCCCCGCGCCGCCGTTCACCAGCACCGACCCCACCGAGCCCACGCCCACGCCCCCGCCACCCACAGACCCGCCCAGCGCGTGGCCCTGCACGCACAATATACCCACCCGGTTAATTGTTTGTACGTAAAAAATGTGTACATACACACTTCTGCTACATACTATGTAGTATTACGCTGTAATGATTTGTTATATTTACAAGAACACTACACATTAAATGAAACTAAGTTTACGTCGTGAAACGCCGAGAATTAAAAATTCAAATTAAACGCGATAAAATCCGTAAAATTAGTTTCATTTAATTACGCTGTAGGCACGACACAGTTGTATATTATAAGATATGAGTGACATAGTACTATATAACATAGTACTATATAAATATAAAAAAATAATATTTGTTTGTTCCTATTTTATGCGCTACCATACCGATCATCAGATTGCGATAAAACTTTGTCAACATATGCTTGCATTTCCGTGAAGGTTATAAGCATAGTTATACTCGGTAGATGGCGCTGTTGTAGAAACCAGATATAAGCCATGCGAAGCCGGGGCATACTCTGTACTATATTTTCTCTATCTCTTAGATGCGTTGTCATCCATGAGGACTAAGATGGAATACTTTGTTTCCAGTAAAAAGGGTCTCCGGTTTTCTACACTCACCATACGTAACACTGCAGCATTAATCTGCTATTTTACGTTGGTATTCTGTGAGAGCGTGGTCCTTCTCGAGTCGAACTGAACTATTCGTGCTATAACTATACCACTAATATAGCTGCAGCATGGCTCAACCACGTAAAACAAGTATACGCAATAATCTTGATACTTTTGCCGTGGTGGCAGCGTATGAGAATCTAATACCCCATATCATCCCGTGTGTAAGAAGCGACAGAGAAAAACTAAAACAAGAACTGGGTAGCAATATCTTTCTACGAAGTTATCAAAATTATTATATCGTAGTTGCCAGTCCACCTACCACACGTGACAACTATAGCAAATATCCTCCCTATGGGAGATGTCAATGTTCAGCAGTGGATTTTTGGCGCTGTAATGAATTAAATTAGATGAAATCGCACATTAAATGAATTCTATGTATCAGTACTACAATGGGTGCGTTTGGCGAAAAAAGCGCTAGCAAGCGCTTGTAAGCAAAATGGCGATCGTAAGCGGTAAGCGCTGTCAAATCGTAAGTAGCTATTTTCCTCTAGGACACGAAGTTAGCTTTAATCGGGGAACCTAACCTAATTTAAATATATGTTTGTAAAGTATTCATATTAAAAACTTAGCAATCATGAATTTTTAGTAATATGTATATTTTATTCATGTCATTATATTACTTTAAACTAATATTGCACAAAACAACTTATAAACTCAACTTCAAAACAAACAAATTAAATAAGCAAAATGGCGGATTGTGTCAGCGCTACTGAAGTTAGCAAACGTGTCCTGGCCGAAAACTGTTTAGTTTCGCCAGTTTGCTTACAAGCGCTTGCTAGCGCTATTTCTGCCAAAGCTCACCCAATGTAATGGAGAGTTGCAAACGAGACGAGTGCGACCACTTGAACACGCTCACAAGTTTCTCCCTCGACTTTTTACGCCGCGTCTTAGCTCCGATAAGGTAGGTTTGTATTATTATACTCTTGAACGAATTAACCACTGGACCCGACATAAAACACATATGTATGAAAACACGTTCAACCAAGTGGAGAATAACGCACCAAAGATTTTATTACGTTAATATAGACACAGATACGAAATTCGTAGAAGTTTACTCTAATTGTAGTGCTTGAACGTTTACTCTAATTGTAGTCGATAAAATATATCGATGAACGACTGAGAACGAAAAGACGTATCGTAAATAAGCTGTAAGACAAAGGAAATAAAGGGATAATGAAGGTGAGGTAAGCTTCCGGTATTTAAATTTTAATTAAAACAAAAGAAGCAGACATTGTTATTGACTTTTTATTTACGATAAACGTCAAATTTTTGTTGAGTTTAAATTATTTAAATAGGTTTACTGACTTTTATTATGTATCATCTTCCTTAAAACGTGTTTCTTAGAATTTATTTTGTTCGCTTGTTTTCTTATATAAGCAATTCTAATATTTATATACTTTTTAGCAATGGCTTTCGTTAATTCTTCGACGTGATTCACGTCGTCGTTTTCAAATTTATGGAAATGAATGTCTTCGTACAACAGAAGTTGCAGCAATGTTTCTGTTACTTTCGACAGGGGAAAATCTGTTGTGTAATCTTTTTTTAGTCTTTTATTCTAACACACTTCGTAAGTTCGAGTTCGCAGTGCTGACAAATAGCTATGGTATCACTTGAGGGAAGTATCAGTTTTCCCTTGTCTTTATCGGCAATGAGACTGCCTTAATTGGTGTCATTTTGTGTTTCTTTGCATTAGTATTAAAAGAGGCAGTATCGAAATATACGCTGCATATCCTGGTTTCCTGGTTTCATCTCTACGAACTGCTTCTATCCACTTTCTTTTACGAGAAGGGTCACTATGAAATCTGAAAATTCGTGTATTTATGTGTTTAAATATTTTAAGTACAGATACTAATTATAATTTTTGCATTTATATTGTTATTTAATTATAAAAATTACTATTATAAATTTAATGACATCAGATTGTAGGATACTGTTATATAAGTATTTTTAAGTGTTATTGTATTGTACAAATAACATCATCATTCATTCGGTCATATCGTCAAATATCGATATATTTTTCGACATGGTCAAGCACTAGTCGATGTCAAATTGACTTATTCCACAGTTTTAGTCATTCGTTTCGAATGGTATAATCCACCCATTTTGTGATGGTTGTCAGATGTCAACAATACATAGAAATATCGACTATATTTAACATAGTTGGATAATACAAAATTTTATTTTACATTTGATTAAATTGTGTGATAAATAACAATAAATGTAATAAAATAATGTACTTACAAGTGAAAAGAAATAGTTCTGCTTCCGCCGCTATAGTTTTTATACCATTTAATTGAAGATTTAGTCATTTTTGGGAGATGTTTTGTTGACAAGTAAGTGCTTGAGACTGACCCAAAAACAAACGACCAAGGCTGGAATTTCCTGGTTACTGACAAGACCGGTATAGGTAAGTCCGCTTATATGTCGGGTCCAGTGGTTAATTCGTTCAAGATTATACTATACTCTCATTACATACGCTGGCGAAGCGGGCGTCCGCTCGCAACTGACTGCTCCACAATGTCACACTGTGCATGTGCACGTACATGTCGGACCACATCCAAAGGAATTGTTTGTTAGAGTGGAGAATTATAATAATAAGTATGGTATAATTCTGTCCTAAATATAACCCCTATGAGGGAAGTTAAGTAATAATATAAAATAGTAAGAGTATTATTCTGTCCACGCGAAAAGATATTGTTACGTTAAAATTAACTGTTAAAGAATGAAGTAGTAGAGATAAAGAAAAGATTTTTAAAGCACATGTCCTCCGAAACATTAAAGAGTTAAAAATTATTTTAAACTTATGCCGTATAAATTAAATTGAAATTTCCTGTATTTAGTGAGTGTTAATGAATTATTTGCTCAGTGTACATTTAATGAAAATTATACTTTATTTCATAGTGCATAAAGTTCAGATTTCAATAGTCAGCAAAGCGTCAAGATTATGACTCTTAAGCCCGCATCAGAGCCATGTCAAGCCCCTGTGCATCTGTTATGAGCGTGTTCAAGCTGTCACCTCGGTCACCTCAGTGGTGGGCACGGCGTACGGCGAGCCGGTCGGGTTGTAGTTGGCGACTGGACCCGCAACGTCAGCGTACGACACGTTCGGACACGAGCCGGACTGCGGATCGTCCACAACCTTCTGCAGGATCATGAGGCATGCTTTCTTATTGTTCTCTTTTTCACCTGGAATGTGAGAAGCATAAAATTAGACGTATTTAATAATTTTCTTATTCAGTGGTTTTGGAGATAGGGTTGCCAAACGTGCTTTATTTTAATGGACGATAATTTGTAGACTATCGTTACACGTGGTGAAGGTTACTGATCGCAACTGTTGTGCATTTAATGTAACAACGAAAAAAATATTCCGGACCAAAGAGAGAAATCTGTAGGCAACTTAAAAGCTGAGCTGCTTAAAAAATAAAAGAGTCTCCGAACTAATTTCGCGACATTGACATTGGATCTTACGTTCCTGTTGTATCGATTTCTTATATTTACGCGAAAACTACACATTTAAATAATACTAGTTTTTACAGATTTTATCGCGTATATTTAACTATAAATACCCGACGTTTCGAGCGCTTTACAGCACCCATAGTCACGGCTGGACGTTTACCATAGATTAAAATTTAATATATGTTAACCGCGGTTAACTATGACATCTGGACGTTGAACATCTCAGCCCCCCCCCCCCCCGTGACCATGGGTGCTGTAAAGCGCTCGAAACGTCGGGTATTTATAGTTAAATATACGCGATAAAATCCGTAAAAATGTTTCAATTCGTTGTTGTTCATGTTAATTTTGTGACAGAAGGTTCAAGCCTTTGCGCCACCCTAAAGCCGCGTGCATTATAATGATATAAAATATAATATTGCAAGAATTGAAATCTTTAATTAAAAAAAATCATAAAGTATAAGTCACAATTAGTTTTGACTAACATTCTTAGTCAACATATGCTTATTATTATTTCCCTAAATGAGTCTAGTAAGGTAATTATATTACTAGATCGTGCTCGTATCATAGTTACATTCCGGTATATAGCTCTATCCCTGGGGATAAAACTTAAGGCTTCAATCATCTTACTGCGACATATAGAAGATAATTATCAGACGGTGATGTACTTCACTGCTGGCCGTATGAGGACGCTCAAGGTCGCTTAGCGAGCTATAGAGATTTATGGGCTATTCTCGGAGTTTCTCTGCGTGATAGACTCAGAAATGAGGATATCCGCAGTAAAACCAGAGTGACCGACATAGCCCATCGGATTAGTAAGCTGAAATGACAATGGGCCGGCCATATAGCTCGAAGAACCGATGGGGAAGAAAGGTTCTCGAGTGGCAGCCTCGTACCGGTAGGCGTAGTGTAGGGCGATCCCCCACTAGATGGAGTGACGACCTGGTAAGATATGCAGGAAGTCGATGGATGCAGGGGGCTCAGGACCGTGCTTTGTGGCATTACTTGGGGGAGGCCTATGTTCAGCAGTGGACTTGTGAAAGGGCTATAATGATGATGATGATGTACTCACCCACAACAGTTATGCACCTCTCCTGAAGCGAGAGTTCTTTGGCCTTCTGCGATATCTGCACGTAGCTGCCGCTTTGCTCCTTGATCTGCTTGATATAGTTACCGCCCTTGCCGATGATCATGCCGGCGGTGGAGTTCGGTACCAAGATTTTGACCTGCAAAATGGCGCGTAAATAACATCAATGGAGAACTTATTTTGATGTTACTTGAACTTGTTGTGATGTTAAAACTAAAATAAGACATAAGAACAAGACAACAATAAGAATTGTAAAAACTGTTAAAAAGCAGGTTCAGGGAAAATAATTCTCGACCATGTCTTATGTGTGATAAGGCTTTTAAGATTAGGAAGAAGACAGCCACGATTTTTTTTTTAATTTTTCAATCTATTAATTTTTTTTATTTGGTTCACAAATGGAATGTAACGTTTACATGGCTCAGGTAACTTGAAAAAGTAACAAACAAACGTTCATTCTAATAACAGTGAACACTGCATGCACCAAGTGAACGAGATAACAAATACAAATGAAGAAAGGAAAAAAACTCTAAGATAATAAATATTCATTAAATTAATTAATGGCTAATCTAATGTTAGCCCTTTAATGTAATCTACCCTTAATTAATTTAATGTAATAAACCTTTAATGTAAATAAATGTAATCTGTTTAATTTAGATGTGTTAGGTGATTTCCTACCGAAAAGCCTCAAGACAAGATGTGGCGGACCAAACATCGGACATTGGCAGAATTTTTGTGACCCAACCATCAAAGGCCATATAGAAGAAAAAAAAACCTTTGTAGTGTACTTAGAACAAATATGTGATATTATGGTTCGGCTCGGCAGATGAAGAACCACGCTAGCGCAGCACCAACTTAAAATAGTCGCATAGTACTGCTAGACTGTTTCGTGATAATCTTACATGCTCTGCTAAATATTTGCTTTTGATAATTAATTATTTTTTTAAATTGTTTTATTATTATTATTAGACATCTTTTTCTAAAGAGTTATTTTGTAAGTGTGTACACGCCTTCGTACACAAATCATCGATTACTAATAAAGAATTAGTGATCGATGACACACATAATATAATGCACGTGGAAAAGTTTGACTTCTTAATCATTTGTAATTACAACTATGCTCAAGTAGTTTCTCTAGGATTTATGGTTGGTTGTTATTTATTTATTCATCTTTTTCACTTTCCCTCTGTCATCTCTTATGACAGCCACGGGGTGATATGTTTTATTGGTACATAAACTTTCTATATTTTATTTAAAGCTATAATCAATGCTAGTATTAAAATGACAGCTAAATAAGGTGCAACTGTATATACTCTTGAACGTAACTCCCTCATAGAGAGAGATCTGCGACTTCCTTTCTATTAATAAGTAACATTGAAATAGTTTTCTTAATAATTAGTAATACTTTACGAAATTTGAATATTTCTGTACAAGCATGATAATTTTATTTCGGTAATCGAAGGAGAAAATTGGATGGGTTGTTTTACAAGGTCAGTTTCGCATGTTTCTAAAATGTAGGCAAAAAGCAACATACACTTAAATTTAGCATCATTTAAACGTGACCCATATATAAAGGGTCCAAAAGTATAAATAAGTATACGGATATTTTGCCTAAACAGCAACCGTTCCATTCACATGTGAATTTTTAACATGTTATTTTCGTAACGTTGTCGCTGTGTAAACAGTCAAGTCATCAAGCAATCTCTTTGAGTTTGAATAGGACAGTCCCTTATGGGAAAGTTTTCATTAGTAAGCAGAAGTAAGCATTACCTCTTTTTATGTTTAAGCCAGGCTTAAAACCGCTTACTCAGTAAAATAAAATGTTGAGGATGAAATATAGTAGTTTCGGAAGATCTTAGTTTATTAATATTTATTGTTTGCGCCTCCTTCATTTGCTTTGGTAATTTATTAAATATTTGTACTCCCTCAATTATAAATTTTTCCCGTAATTTGTTCGCGGAGCACTTGAATCATGTTTTGCGCGTTTCTTGAATATCGTTCATTGTAGTGTGTTCTTTAAGCTAAAGGTTTATTAATTAGAGATTTTGAATTAAAATTTTAGATATCGAAAAAATTCAATATAAAATTATAAGCTATCGGCAATATAACAAAATAATGTCCTGCAGAGCAAATTTCGGTCGCGACGGAGACTGGATATGGTTATCGTGCCAAAGTCTATACGCGGACACAGGTGTACTCTTTATTCCCTCACGACCGGAGGCAGATCCGCCTAAGGCTTTACGTGCGAGCGAGACGCGGAAAAATACAACGCCACGTTCCTAACTCCAGGCTGTTTCTGAGAATTTTTTTGAATTAAATTTTGAATTGACAGAAAAGTCCAATAACTGATTTTGGCCCGATCCGGAATTTGAACATACGACCTCGTGAACCTCGACTTGACGTGTGGCTTTCAAAACAATAAATCAACATATGTAATATACGGCGGAAGATTCTACCGTTGCCGTTACAGCCTATGAAAGTTCAGTGGTGAACATACATTTTCGATTAAGAATCAAAATGCAGATGCGTTGTCATGCCATGAGGATTGAGATGGAATGCCTCGTTTCCACTAAAAAGGGTCACCGGTTCTCTACGCTCACAATACGAAACGCAGCAGCATTTAGCTGCTATTTTAGGCTGGTATTCTGTGAGAGCGTGGTCCTACCTCGGTCGATCCAACCCATTCGTGCTACAATCACAATATAGCTGCAGCATGGCTCTACCACGTAAAAAAGCTTGCCTCATAATATATGTAGGATGGTTATTTGCTAATTGCCACGTTTGGCAACCATTTTTTTTGGTGGTTAGATAGACGTTGCCGTCCATCTCCTGATTTGTTTCCCTCTATCGTCTTTTACGACACCTTGGGGATGATATGGGGTAGGGGACATTCTTACACCGCCACTACACAGTAAGGTAGATCTTAATATTTCTTAATGGCTGAACTATGTAAGAAATGATATATAAACAGCACTACACGTATGCCGATGCGGAAAACTGCGGTTAAGCGCATTTGAAAACTAGCACACGGCCTTGCCGCGTAATACACCGACACGACATTGCTCTAAGTAAAGAACTAGGATGTCCAGGTATAAAATGAACGCCAAGAGGCGGTTTCTACGACTAACTTCTAATACCTAATCTATATATAATTGATGACTCTTTTGACGTCTGAAAAAAAGGTGTGATATTTTATAATATTTTTTATTTTACATTAACATTTTATGTTTCCGTTCTCCTGTTACACCCTATTTTTTCCCAGACGGTAAAAAAAATCATAAGCTAAATACCATTGACTGACTGACTCATCTCGATACCTTTAAAACTATACACCCGATTGACTTGAAATTTAATATAGCTGTACTCATTTCGCAAAGTAGACACGCCCACTAAGATGGGATTTTACGATCGTCCCATCAAAAAATTGTCTTGATATTTTACATCTGGGTACCGCAATAAAATAGTATCAGCTAGTGTAAAAGAAAAGCGGACGCTCAGCATCCAAATATTTGTATGTTTTAAAGTAAAAATTGTATGTATATACTGAGTTAAAGTCCTGGCATAGGCTACTGTAATATAAAATAATTTATTTTTCTTCACAAAATTTACTTTAATTACATACCTAGTTGATTGGAATCTCCATTTAAGCAAGTAATGCCTGTGTTTGGTAACTCCGCTCTTCCTTATCTAAACATACATAAAAACTAATAACTCTATTTTAACGACCAAAAATTACAAAAGTATATTACAAAGATATACGTGCGTGTGTGTGCGTGCGTGCATGCGTGCGTGTGTGTGTGTGCAAGTGCATGCACTCTCTATTCCTTCACTCTCATAACCTGATGAGACGGTAAACCGATATGACCGGAGAAAGATCAGGTGCAGGACCAACGTACGTACTTTCCGTGGCACAGGGGTGAGATATAGTCTGCTTCGTTACTCCGAGTAGCTACTGAGAATTTCTTGTCGGAAAACTCAATAAATGATTTTTCTGGCCCGACCCGGGATTCAAATGCAGGACCTCATGATCAGCAGTCACACTACTACTACCACTAGAATAACGAGGCAGAATGATTGATAATGATAAAGGATACCATTATCATAACAGGCTACCAAAATTCCACTGCTGAACAGGCTTCCACCACAGATTGCTTTAAAGGGAAAACATATTTTGTTATAATGATTCTTGATAGGTTGCCAATCCGCCTGCCAAGCGCGACTGCTATGGCAAATATCCCCCCTACGAAGCAATCCATGGTGGAGGTCCACGTTCAAAATAGTACGTGAGGGTAATATCGTCATCCAGTTAATGTTGTTTGCATGAAGGCTTTAATTAAAGTAATTAAGAATGCACACTTCCGCTCAATAAAATAAAATGATGTGTTACCTAGACCGAGCGGTCAGCCATCGCAGAGACTACTTACATCTCCTGAGAATGCCTCGTGTAGAGGTGAAACACGTGTCGTATTATCTTCGATGGTGTATCTTTCCTAGAGTAGTGGTGTTGGGAGTAGAGGTGCTGGGATTAGTGGTGACGGGATTAGAGCACGCAACTGAGGGAGGGCAGAAGGTGCTCTTCAAACTAGGTAGAACACATCATTTTATTTTATTGAACGGATGTGTGCAAATTAATTCTTAACTACTTTGATATAATGGATTTTCGCAAAATAACGCCTGATTCTATTAATTATCAGATGGCTTTATAATACGATAGCTCTTCATCGGCCAATCAAATAATAAAGCGTCAAAACGGCGCTGCTTTGACGACACCATTTTGACAGTTGACATTATACAAAATATTTTAATTGATTTTAATATGGTGTAGTATAGTTAGTTTTTTAAGTAGATTTTTCGAAGTGTCCCTAATTATTACCAAAGCTTTTTTGTTATTTTATCTTAATATATTAGTTATAGTATACGACTTGTGTTTTTGTCTCTGTCTTTCTCCTAGTTTTGGTTTTATAGGACAGGAAAGCTTAAGGTGTCCATATTACCCTCACGTACCTATGTAAATTCTAAATTCGACTGCACTCGATCGATTTGAAGAATTGGTAGCATACTTGCATAGACAATGTACAGCATATGGTAATCCTAATTTGCACGCATGTGTAATAAACTAATAAATCATACGGGCTAGTTACG